GGCCGGGGGTGGTCAGCCGGGGGGCCGGGGCCGGCACCCCAGGGCCCGAGCCGACCCAGGCTGGAAACGCCGGGGGGGGAGGGGGGGGGCAGCCTGGCCCACGCCTCCTCCCCCCACACACCCCTTACCTGCTTCAGGCTTCCCGCAAATCAAATGTTCGCGGGAAGCAGGGGAGGGGCGGAGACTTTAGGGAAGGGGCGGAGTTGGGGCGTGGGCGGGGCCCCGTGGAGTGTCCTCCTTTTGGAGGCACAAAATATGGTAACCCTATAAATGCCTCTCTCTAATTATGGCATAAATTACACAAGGGGCCACCGAATCACCTACTACTACTTCCTTCCTCTAGACCACTAGTTCTCAACCAGTGGTACACAATATGGCTGGGGATATACAGAGGTCTTACAGGGGGCACATCACCTCATCTAGACATTTGCCTAGTTTTACAACAGGCTACAGAAAAAACACTAGTGAAGTCAATACTAACTAAAATTTCATACAATGACTAGTTTATACTACTCTGTATACTATACAATGAAATGGAAGTACAATATTTATAAAATAAATCAATTGGAATATAATTATATGATAAAAATGAGAAAGTAAGCAATTTTTTAGTAAGAAAGTGTGCTGTGACACTTTTGTATTTTTATGTCTGATTTTGCAAGCAAGCACCTTTTAAATGAAGTGAAACTTGGGGTACACAGGACAAATCAGACTCCTGAAAGTGGTACAGTAGTCTGGAAAGGTTGAGAGCCACTGCTCTAGACCAGTGATACTCAGACCTCAGTAGTTCAGGAGCCAAATTAGCTATCAACATTATCCAAAAGAGTCATAGTAGCGTGAATTCATTGTTTCATTTGCTACAATGACCGATGAAGTATTATTATTTAATCTGCTACAATTGGTTAACAACATAGTAAAAGCATCCTGATTGGTTAATAATTAAATCAGAATGTTTTAATATCATGTGCTTCAAAGAGCCACTTGCGACTCAAAGCTTCAGTCTGAGTATCACTGTTCTAGACAGCAGCAACTCCTTCCTTCAGTTCTGCAGGCTTTACACTCCAGATCTGCAATAACTATATGCCTGAAGCTTATTTGAAATTGGCTTTCCTCTATTTATCCTGTAATACAATGTTTACCACCCTTGTCAGTCTTCCATCAAATGAATTACATGTTAAGTGAATGGTGTTGTAGCAAATTAAGTCGGTTAATTCTCTATCATGAAAAATAGTGTTTAATGGTTTCCTATCATATTAACAAAAAACAAGACAAACATTATAAAACTTCCCAAACTACCCTAAACTGACACAAAAAGCAAGAACTTCTTCCAGAAAAAAGTATTTGGGATCACTACACAGTTTTTTTGCTATGGACAAGGAATGAACAATGCACTACACTACACAAACTTTTAGTTTCCAGAAACAGTATTTGATCAGTTTTCAAAATTGATAATTTTTTCACCCAGCCAAATTAAAGAGCCGTAAGTATCTAAAGGTAAAAATAAAAATCTGAGTCTATATCTCAAAGTCATCTTATGAAACCCTAGTTCACTTTAAGCTTGCTAACAGGGATCTAAATAAAACTACATTTAAAAAGGGAAAGTGTTTGAACTACACCAAGTTTGAACAAAGGGTTAAACTGAAATTTGGGCTAAAAAATATCACATAAGAACTAAACAGTTCAATTAAAATTTCTTTCTTGATATATGGAGGAAATGGTTGGCTGTGTTTTTGCAAGGGTTTCCCCTTAACATAAATCTTAAGGAAACTGCAGTTCTGGTAAGTAATAGTTACTGAATTATTATATTAAAATATCTTAGGCTTAATTTGTTCCAATTTGTTTCACTGGTGACCCTATTTCATAGGGGTCTTCAGTGGATAAAATGCTTTTGCATTAGAATTAACATCAAGGACTAAGGAAGAGCCATCTGGTTTCACTCAGGTGTTCAGTTTCAGCTGAACAATTATGGCTCCTGTTTGATGCCCTATAACAGTTCTGATTGTTTTACCCTTTGAATTGAAGTAATTTGTACTGTATTTTCTATTAAACGAAAGCACCACATACTTAAAAAATATCAAATAGTTCAAAACATGCAAGTAAGAGGCTGGGACTGATTGGTACGTGCTAATCTTGTTAATCCATCCAGTTGCTGTTCCATACTTACCTGTTGAAGACTGGGCATTGACATCGGCACAGTGAACAAGTAGCAGTTTTACAATGTCTACATAGCCTCCACTGGCAGCTGCCATTAGTGGAGTTATGTCTCCTTTATTCCCTCGATCTTCAACATTTGCATGCATCGCTAGTAGCACCTGAACAAACAAACAGAAGTTCACTTAGATGAGTTTTAACAATTATGTTTTGCTCCTTTAATTATGAGGGGACTCAGGGTATGTCTACACTACAAACCTAAGTCGACCTACAGCCACTGCAGTAATTACTGCGCTAGTACATGCCTACACTACCCTCCTTGGGTTGGTGGTGCACGTCCTCAGCAAGAATGCTTCCATTGACCTAAGAGGGGCAGTGTGGGGAGCGGACAGCCTGGTCTGGCAGCTCCCTGCCAGAAGTCTGGCTGGCTACCCTGCAGGCTTCTGGGTGCCCAGTGGGCTCTCTCAGCCTCCACTCCCAAAAGGGAGCCAGATACCCCTTGTCAATTTCACAGCCCACTGAGCCCTGAAATACACAAAAGACTGCCTGGCTCCTGGCAGGTGGCTCTCAGCTGAGACTGAGATCCAAAGTCACTCCGGGCTTCTCACCCCAGCTCCCGGCTGGGATCATGGTCCGAAGCCCCCCCAGCTTCTCCAGGGGAGCAGGGACATTCTTGTCAATGTTATGGCTCCTGGCATGAAATTGACAAGAGAGCAGATAGACACTGCATAGCCCTAACTACACTGACATAAGCCTTACGCCTCTCGTGGAGGTGGAGTTATTATGTCAGTGTAGTAGGGCACTCCTGTCGACTCTGGTACTCCACCAGGGTGAGAGGCGCAGGCGGAGTCGACGGGAGAGCGTCAGCCGTTGACTTACCGCAGAAGACACCGCGGTAAGTACATCTAAGTACCTTGACTTCAGCTACACTATTCACGTAGCTGAAGTTGCATAACTTAGATCGATCCCTCCCCACATGTAGACCAGGCCTTAGAATGACTATTTGGCAGCACAGCTTGATATTGTCTGGAGTGATGTGCCTGGAAGTTAGAGGCCGATCATTTGAACACATACAAGATGTAATTTTCAAACAAGATCATTTATGTTGTAGCATGTCTTATTTGTTACCACCTCCTCTTTAGACTGAGGTCTTGTAAAAAGCATATTTAGTGGAAAACTGTCTGAAAGGCTGTTGAGCATGCAATAAAGTGAACTGCACTATATTTTACTTCACATTCCTTTTAGAGTACAAAATCCATTCTAATCAAAAGAACTAAAATGTTTGGCTTTCGAAGAGTTTCGGGCATATAGCACTCTTTATTTAAAGTCTCAGTCATAAGTGACTGCGTATTTTCTACTTACTTGTGCTAATTCATAATACCCAGCTGAACAGGCCAAGCAAAGAAGACTCTCCCCTTCTTCGGTATGTTCATTTACACTTCTTCCTTCATCCAGCAGCTTCCGGACAGCATTCACATCCCCATCAGAGCATGCTTCTGCCAAACTGCGACTGGAAAATTATTTATCATACAATGAACACACAGGAATAATTCTACAGCAGACAGGTAGTGAGCTTTCTGATAAACAACTATAAAGTCAAGGTATATAGCAAAAGACTTGCTTAATTGACATGCTAGTTTGCTGTTTAGCACTTTGAAAGTGTCTTCCAGAAAGTGATATAGAAAGGCAAAGTGCTTTTCAAAACAAACAATAGCTCAACACCTCTGTGTAGGAGCTATTATTCCCTTTCACAGATGGTCTAATAGGAATTTGCTTCGATTTCGAAATAAGTGGCTAGCCACTGACAGCTGCATTGGTGCAAATCCCAGGTCCAGACAAGGGAAGCTATAATATGCACCAACGTAGCTCATCCCAGTTTCAAGCAGAGAATCTCCACTAGTGCAAGTTGCAGCTTTCCTGTGTACACTTGAGGTTTGTACTGGGGCAGTTTTGACAGCAGCTAGCCATTGATTGCAAGAATGGGGCAAATTCCCAGTATAGACAATGCTTAAGTGACCTGCCTAAGGTCACATTGAATACTGTTGCAGAACTAGGAATAAACTAGATCTCCCAACTGCCAGTCCTCTGCTTTATCCATAAGACTTTTTTCTATTCCTACTGCCTGAACTATTTTATTGGAAGGAAATAAAGTAAATAATGTTTAGACAAAAAACATTCATATGACAAATTATCCTTAGTTATTTGATTTTTTTGGACTGCCAAAATTTTAACTATACCTTTAAAAAATACCAAAGAAACTCAAGCCACTGAAGTTTGCAGCCTATCTAGAATAGTAAATTATTAAAATATGCCTATTGGATGGATTCATTATTTTATTTAGTTTTAACATTCCATCATACTGGGATACCTCAACTAAGGGCTTGGCTACACTGGCAATTAACAGCGCTACAACTTTCTTGCTCAGGGGTGTGAAAAAAACACCCCTGAGCGCAGCAAGTTGCAGCGCTGTGAAGTGCCAGTGTAGACAGTACTCCAGCGCTGGGAGCGATGCCCCTCATGGAGGTGTTTTTTAGAGCGCCGGGACCACACAAGGCACGTTAAAGCGTTGCCACGGCAGGGCTTTAGCATTGACAGAGTAGACTAGCCCTAACACTGTAAGGAAGGGAGGTGGGTGGGTATTCTGTAGCTCCTTCTCATTCAAGAACCCCAAATCCGACAAAAAAGTAGGAAGTCTAGAGAAGTCAATGTACCTCTTACATTCCAAAGTGAAAACGCACCCGTGTAGCAGCATAAAATATATTGGAAACTGACTGACGTGCCAATTCAAGAAGGATAAAAAGGGCAAAGGTCCTTACGCAGTATTGCTATTCTCTAACTATCAAGCCGTCATGACCAATGCCCCCAGCTCTTGTCACCATAAAAGACCTCAAGGCTCAGGAAATACTTAGCCATTACCTTAAGCAACAGTTTTAAGGGCCAATGGGAGCTGCAGAGGCAGTGCTCGCGGCTGGGGCAGCGCATGGTGCCCCCTTGGCCGCGCCGCTTCCGGTGAGCCTGATAGGCAGCCTGCCAGCCCCACCAAACCGCCCCACACCCCAGAGCACCCGCGGTGCCCCCCAGGCTGTCCCCAAGCACCCAGAATTTAGTCAGGGTACAGTACAAGTCATGGAGAGGTCATGGACTGTGATTTTTTGTTTACTATCCATGAACTGTCCATGACTTTTACTAAAAATACCCATGCCTAAAACGTAGCCTTAGTCATGATTACCAACACATAACTGTAGGATCAACTCCAGCAGAACAATCAGAGTGATGTGTTCCTGCCAGTGCATCTTATAAGACATGGAAATTTGCCTTCAAAACGAGGACTGGTTGGCACAGTCAAAAGAGAAATTGGGCCCATTTATTTTCTGTGACACGTACACAAGCTGACTCAAGAGCCTCTCCTCTATCGCCCTCAGTGTACAGACTTGGATAGGAAGAGAAAGTTAACTTGTTAATTCAGGAATATATATGAGTTTCAATTTCCAACAAAGTACCAAAGAATTCCAATTATTAAACTACTCTTTGAATCCCTATAAATAATTCTCACTTGAGATACACACACTTCTCAGACAATGAAAATGTTAGTAGTTACCAGATAAGGACCCTTGGAGCCGGGCTGATAAGGAGGTGGAAGTCATTTGCCAGACTGAGCTTTTTGTGATTCCCTTCAGTGACTACAGCAGACATTTAAATATAGGATTAACAATGTAATGGGACAGTAATTGACATAATGGATCAGACTCTTGGTCCACCTAGTCGGTATCCTGTCTCCAACAAAAACCGGCATCAGATACTGCAGAAGGTGGTGCAAGAAACCTCAGAGTAGGCAGATTTGGCATAATCTACCCATCCGAAAGGTTTTATCCCAATCCTTAATATTTAGAGTGGCTTCAGCCTTAAGCCTGAAGTTTTATATCCTTTCCAAAATATTTTTTGCATTAATTCAAACAACTCTGGATGTTCTTGTTATCCAAATAAATATCCAATCCCTCTCAAAATTCTGTGAAGTTCTTTGTCTCTGACTTCCTGTGGCAGTGAGTTCCACAATCTAGTTACATGTTTAACACTGTTGCAAAAAAAGCGAACATCATTCTGTGATGTATAAGCAGGAGTGTTGTAAGCAAGACATGAGAAGTAATTCTTCTGCTCTACTCTATGCTGATTAGGCCTCAACTAGGGAGTAGTGTGTCCAGTTCTGGGCGCCACATTTCAGGAAATATGGGGACAAATTGGAGGAAGTCCAGAGAAGAGCAACAAAAATTATTAAAGGTTTAGAAAACATGACCTATGAGGGAAAATTGAAAAAATTGTGTTTGTTTAGTCTGGAAAAGAGAAGATTCAGAGGTGACATAACAGTTTTCAAGTACATAAAAGGTTGTTACAAGGAGGAGGGAGAAGAATTGTTCTTAACCTCTGAGGGTAGGAAAAGCAGCAATGGGCTTAAATTGCAGCAAGGGAGGTTTAGGCTGGACATTAGAAAAAAGCTTCCCAACTGGAATAAATTACCTAGGCAGGTTGTGGAATCTCCATCATTGGAGATTTTTAAGTGCAGGAGACTGAACTAGACCTCTCAAGGTCACTTCTAGTCTTATGAGTCTATGATGAGTGAAAAAGTATTTCCTTTTCTCAATTCTGAATTTATCACCTGCCTCTCAATTTCACTGAATACTCCCCTTGCTCTTGTGTTATGAGACAAGGAGAGTAGAAGTTTCCCATCTATCTTTTCTAGACCATTCATTAATTTAATCTTTTTACACATCTTCATCCCCCTTCTAAGGAGAAAATCTCCCTCCCCCCAAAAACCAAAACTCTCTTCCTACAAGAGTTTTTCCATGCCCTTAATCACTCATCATCCTTTTCTGAACCCCCTAGAACTCTGCAATACCCTTTTTGAGATGGGGTGTATTACTGCAGACGGAGGTCATACCATTTGATTTTTTTTTCCATTTAGAGAAATACTCTAAAATACAACAGTGTATAGATCCAATCATTTTATTATCCTAATCAAAGTAAATATTTTATACAAAGAATTGGCTGTATATATTGTGTACATGGCTGTGTATTCAAGCCAACCTATTAAGGAATCAAACTGAAGCTGAATATGCTCATAGCAACGACTATGAAAAACAGAAGTTACAAAGCAATATGAATGATTATGGACATTGAACTTTCTTCTAGTTGACACAAAGAATACATCTTCTCCAAACTCTTCTTCCCGTTTGTTATCTGCTCAAGTATTGCCCACTCCCTATGCTATTCTCAAGACTAAATGATTATGTATATTATTTTAATTATATAATTTAAAAAATTCACATAATCAACTCACTGAGCTAAATACACAAATTATTCTATGGCTTGTGTTATATAAGGTCAAACTAGATGATCATAATTAGCCCTTCTGGCCTTAAACATCTACAAAATATAAAAATGCTCTTGCAATACACTACCCCATTCCTTCCCCCAGATCCCCATGTATGTTATTTGTCTAACAAATGATAAACTGAGGGGAAAGGGCCTTGTCCTATGTTTGAAAAGAGCCAGGCACATCTATGATGCTATAATTAAAAACATCATAATTTATAGATGCTAAAGGAATAGCGTTTGTGATTTAATTAAGTTTTATGTCCATTTCTAAATTCCTTGAAGAACTGTTCTCCATGAACAGTACCTCAAATCTTACACACTTAGTTCTGCAGTATGTACAACACAGTATTTCAACAATTATTCAAGTTTCCTCCAGGCCCACATACAGTACCACCTTAATGTTAAATATCTGAGGGGAAGCTGACAGACATCTTGCCCCTTAACTTTCAAAAGCTGAAAGCAGAAGATACTGAGGCTTCAGCAGCTTAAAGTGACACTTCTCTTTCCTGCTGAAGGAGTGATGTGAAAGCATGCTTCCTTGGGACTTAAGACAATCACTTGATTCTGGGGCATTGGGACAGCCATATTCTCCTGATTAATCAAGTTGACAGATGTTTCATGGACAAGTATTAGGAAATTTAGTTTTTCCTCCAAAACCTTAGAGCAACAGCTTCTGGCAGATGACTATCCTATGAGGACTACCCCAGACAATGAGCTATCTAACCTTTAGTTTCATTAAAAGACAACCCTCGAAGTTGCTCCGGCAGTAGTTATGGCAAAAAAACTAGCATCTCTGGGTACGTCTATACTGCAATTAGAAACCAGTGGGAGGCCCATGCCAGCTGACTAGGGCTCACGCCAACGGGCTATTTAATTGTGATGTAGACATTTGAGGTCAGGCTGGAGCCCAGGTTCTAGGAACCTGCAAGGTGGGAGGATCCCAGAGCTTGGGCTGCAGCCCCTTTGCCCAGACCCGGCCACTTGCAGGTGTCTAATTGCAGTGTAGACATACCCTCTGTGGGAATGGTGAGGCTGGCTTTCCATTATAAGCAAGCTTTTGTTTAAGAAGTTTTTTGTACAGGAGAGACTGACATCACACACCAAATGGGAAGAAGGGCAACTTTCTCAAAATGTTAAGAGAAGGAAGGATGCTACAATGCACTATTACACTGTCCTTGCTACAGTCCCTAGCTAACAGCTTGAGGTAAGGTATGCAATACCCTGAGATTTGAGAACATGGCTGCTGCTACTACTAGCAAGGGATTTATGTGACCGAGAGGTGGGAACTGCAAAAGTAATTAAATCCAAAAAAATCATTTTCAAATCTACAATTTAGATACCATAATTTAAATTATATGAAAATGTAAGCCTTTACATACTTGTCCACTTGTCCTGCATTGTGATTGTTCTCTGCTCTCATCCGTGTCAATGCAGCAGCAGCTTCATCCAACGCACAGCTGACAGACGAAGTCAGTCTTCGGAGCACCTCAGGATCTGCGAAGGCTTTACCATCGGCAGTGGACAATTTACCAATTCCTTCAGTGTTTGTTCGTTCATCAATCAGGTTAGTATGAAAGTCACACAAAAAAATGCAAAGACACTATTTTAAAATTTCAGTCACATGCACTATTAGTAAAAAAAGTCATCTGCAAACATGCTCGAAAATCAAATAATTAAAATAACTTTTTTATAATCTGAAATTTTAATTATAGCATAGCAGCAGCAAAGCTATGTTTATTTGCAGTTCTATTATATGCCCCAATTTCAAGCTTATACCTTTTGAAAAAACTCTTGGGGTGGAGAACAAGCAGGGGAAACAAGTCTAAAAGTGAATGTCTGGGAAGCTTTGATGTAATGCCATTTGGCTTCTTTCAGATTATCTGAATTTGAAGAACATTTTTCCACTCCAATTTTTCAGATGCCTCCCCCTCCCCACGTTCCCCACAACTTAGGAAGTAAAAAACGTAAAAGCTTCCTGAGGATTTAGTTATCAACAAGGATAAGTGCTTTTAACAAGCTTGAAAAAAGTTTAAACTATTTGTTTGATCTTCAAGTAGCTTAATGTACTGAAGCACAGAAAACCAGATAAAACCAAAATAAAGTATCTTACTCCACAATGTAGTAAAACAGTGATTTTTTGAATGACCGTGTATAGTAAGATTTTTAACCTCAGTACATTTCTTAATCTGTTTCTTTAAAAAAAATAATGAAGCTTAGTACCAGTTGTGTAGTTGACCTTTATGACACAAACTGATGCACTTCTGAATCTACAGACTAGCATACAAAAGAAAGGGAAACTTACCTCATTAATCTCAATGCCACTCAAATGCCAACAATGAAAACTTTTTCACTGCTGATACCACTGTGTGGTACAACTATAGAAGCTTATCCCGCATAGCTAGTTGTACCAAAGGACATACTCAGAGGTAAGGCCCCATCTATTTGACAAATGTAAGCATTCTGGCACAATTGTACTTGCAGCATAGACTTAAATCAAGTACAAACATGCAACTAGTCAAGTGTTTGGTAACATACAGAATACAATAGTTCACAGCAGTGGTTCCCAAACTGTCAGTCATGACCCACAGGATGGCCCTGAAAGAGTACCAGGAAGGTCATGAGACAAGGGAAAAAAAGATGCAAGAAAGCTTCTAAACAAACAGCCACCAGGGCAGTGCCATCTGCTGTTGGAGCATTAGGGTATGTCTACACAGCATTTTGGACCGAACCTCCCAGCCTAGACCCAGAGACTCAGCCTAGTGGAGCTCATGCTAGTCTCCCTTCTTGTATAGCTCTATAGACAGCAGTTTGAAGTTGTGGGTCTCATGGGGGTTCAGGCTCTGATCCTAGGAAAGAGGGTGGGCTTCAGTGCCTGAATCAGCTGACCCAAGCTAGGAAGCTGGCTCCAAAATGCTGCACAGATCATACCCATAAAGCGCTCTCACACCCACAGCTCCAGCCAGCCAGGAAAGCTAGGAAGTGCCATCTGCTGCCAGAACAATACACTCACAGCAGCATGCCTTCCTATGGCCAGCAGCAGGTCGCAAACTCCATGTGGAGGATGCAAAAGCAATGCAGGAAGAATGGGAAAGGGAGGGAGACTGGTGTAATCCCTTTCTTCCAGCACATGGGGCAGCAGGCCAACTAAAAGAATCTAGTGGGCTTGATGTGGCCCTCAGTTCCCAACCCTTCTTTTGGTTTAGTGTTCGAGGGCCTCCAGGAGACAGAGGCCCTGTGTGAGTCACATTGGTTAATCCACCCAAAATTTTCAAAGTAAACTGTTAAGATGGAGTGTTCTTTTATGCAAAGCCAACCTGACAACTAAGGTATCAGGAGGGTCATGTGAACAGAGGTGAGTTTAAAGGGGGTCAACAGCATGAGCAATTTGGGAACCACTGGTTTACACATTACTGGAAACTAACACACTGATTCAATGGTAGCAAATGTAGGTCATCTTTAATAAGCTAAGCAACAGTGTGTCTTGACTAGCTATTTAATCACAGATGTAACCAGGGCCACACCAGAAAGATAAAACCCCTGTGAAAGTGATTCTGGACAACACATTTCAGAAATCTTAACATCTGCCATATGTACACCTTCTGATTCTTTTGAAATTCAACTATGTTTTCTATTTTTCCCAGCTCGTAACCCTGAGTCTAGCATTAGTAACCATGCTTTAAAAGTAGTTTCAAGCATCATTCAAAGAATCCCAAATTAGAGACATAAGAAACCTATTACAGCATCCAATTCACCTCCTCACCAGTACAGGGATCTATGGTTATAAACCTTAGAGCCTTACCAAATTTCTTCAAACTGGAAAAAATTTAGGATGGCTTATGCTTGACCAAGGGCCAAATATATAATCTGATCACATTGAACTGACTTGCACAGCTCGATACTTTCTGCAATCTGGTCCTATGCTGCTATTGCAACTTCGAATACTCAAGGCTGTATAGATCCAAGTCCATTGTCTTATTATGAAGCTCCAGAATCCTTGTTAGATTTGAATATTGCCATTATGGATATAGGTAGGGGTGTATAAAGCAACAAGTCTATCACAGGAGTGAGCAACTACAGCCACATTCATCAACAGACAAGCCTAGATTTCGAGGGAAAGAAGAGCTTCCTAACCAGCTACCAGGTCCTTTATCCAGTATGGGAAATTTCAATGCCTGCAGGAGATATAGGGGGACACTCTCTCACGGCTTCCAGATATTAAAATCCATCCCTTTACTAACTGCATTGCTTCTTTGAGAAGGAGCAGCTCTGCATTACCCAGAAAATCAGCTTGCCCTGTATTTAGTTGGGGGTCATTCCCACCCCCATGATTCACTAGATAATCAGAAAATGGGCTTTCCCACTGCAGATATAACATGGGGCTTCTCAAAACATTCTCTATGAGGACACCCATTTGGACCATCCAAGTACCTCATCTCCTTATTAGAGTTTATTATGGCAGAACTGTTGCAATTTCCTAGTTAAAGCTGGGTTCTAATACAAATTCAAAATAGGAGTTCAACCTTGGTATTTTGTATGAAAAATAGTACATCACGTTTTCATCATAATTTCAAAGTCATGCTTGAATTTTCAAAGAAATCTGTTAATTAATCTGAATTTATGAGTTTAATAGTTAACAATTGGCCTTAAAGTTCACATTCTGCGTTTCACAGTGCTTCTGGCTCCTCCAGCTTAAAAATCTAAAAGAAAGTCTAATTTGTACATAGTAAGAGTTTAGGGGTCCATCTGGGGTTATCATCAGAGTGTTTAGGAGTCCCATTAATAGAAGACCTTGGGCCCAGCACTGTACAAACAGAATAAAAAGACAATCCCTGCCCCAAAGAGCTTACAATCTAGACAGAACACAAGAGGCAACAGATGGATACAGATCGACCAATAGATCAGTACAAGCAAACAATGAGAATATTGGTCAGCATGATTGGCAGTGGTCTCAGCCCACCAACAGTCTTACAGTTAAGTTTTTTGTAGGCATCATAGCATAATAGTTTTAAGAAAGGATTTGAATAAGAACAATGAAGTGGCTCTGCAGACTTTTTCCTAAGCATGAGAGGACAGCAGAGGAAAAAGCACAAAGTTGCTTCTCTGATCATTTAACAAGTGGATGATAGAGGATGGCATCATGGGCCAAATCAGAGGCAGGAATCAATCTTTCAATGCTGAATAAGAGAGGTAGGGTGGAACATGAAGGGCCTTGAAAGTGAAGGCAAATAGCTTATATTTGATATAAAGAGGAAGCCAGTGGAATGATGCAAACAGGGATAACATGGTCAAGGTGACAGATTAGGAAAATGATTTTTGCTGCAGCATTCTGAATGGACATATATTCATTGTTTATTAACAAAATTAAAAATTGTATTAGCCTTACTTCTCAGAACTGAACCCTATATTCCACTGTTAGTAGACAAAACATTATATGTATTACTTCTATTCTCCAATGCAGTATGCAGAAAGCTGGCTTCCCCCCCGCCAAGATTACAATACTTCATTTTCTTATATGTCCACAGTAATGTTTCCTACTTCCAAAACTGGCAGCTAACATGGTGCACAGGAAACAGATTTTGCTAGTCCAGAGGCATTCGTGTTGGATAAAAGGCCTGGTTTACATTACAAACTTAGGTCAACATAAGCCGCATTAAGTTGATCTAATAATGTATGTCTACACTATCGAGTCGCTTCCACCGACCTAAGAGGCCTCTAAAGTCAACTTCTGTACTTCATCTACACGAGAGGCGCAGCCCTTGATTCGACATCCATGGGTCGACATGGGTATACTGTAGACACTGCGTTGTGTAACTCGAACACATTGGCCTCCAAGAGGTGTCCCACAGTGCTCCGCTGTGACTGCTCTGGAGAGCACTTCAACTCCACTGCATGTCAGCCAGGTACACAGAAAACAGCCACTCCCCTGTTAAAGCCCCGGGAACTTTTGAATTTTCATTTCCTGTTTGATCAGCATGGAGAGCTCGCCAGCTCAAGGACACAAACGCGCTCCAGCATGGAGTACACAGAAGGTGGTGGATCTTAATTCTGTGTGGGGAGAAGAGTCTGTGCAGGCAGAGCTCCAATCCAGCAGAAGAAATGCTGACATCTATGCCAAGATCATGGAGGGTATTGGGGGGGAGGGGGGAAGGAGGAGAGAAAGGCTACACAGGGAAATGCAGCAGTGCTGCATGAAAATGAAGGAGCTTCAGCAAGCATACCAGAAGACAAGGGAGGTGGTCATTCTGGTTCTGCCCCACAGACATGCGTGAGGAGCCGCGTGCGATTCTCAGCAGTGACCCCACCACTACCTCAAAACGCTCCATAGATACCTCCCAGGGCCCCAGGCAACCTCAAGCTATAACGAGGAGAACATTGTTGATGAGGAGGAGGAGAACGAGAACGTGAAACAGGCGAGCAGAGGATCTATTCTCCCTGACAGCCAAGAACTGTTTTTAACCCGGGAGCCCATCCTTTTACCAGACCAGTTGGTGGTGGTGCATGATGCCAGGGAAGGCACCTCTGGTGAGTACACATTTCC